TGAAGATATTACAAGTTTGTGTGATAGTGTACTTGAGGGTCATCAAGTTGACGTAACTATCTTGTTGTCAACAAATTATGTGGAAGAAGAGCAAGAAGAGTCAGGAGAATCTGAAGGCAATAGTATCAAATCTAATGAAGACAGTGAAGATTATGATGATGGATAATTTGAATAATATGTATTGTGCAATAATACTATTGTGTAATAAGATTTTGTGTAGTATTTACTCAAATTAATATTACTGTTATTTTTATGTTTTTGTGATATATTTATTATTTTATGTTTTTATTTCAAAATAGAAAAAAATGTCACCCAGAACTGGGGAAAAGGGTAAGGGTAAGACTCACCGCATAAGGTTCATTGTAGAAAAGGTTTCTGATTCATCTATGATTATTCCTATGCCACTTTCGAGTCAGGTGACTCGTCCGCCTATGCATTTTACTCTACCGTATATGCATTCTAATCCTCCCATATCTGAATCTTTCACTGGATTACTATCCACACCTGATTTTCCTTCACTCCCCCTCATATCCACGACAAGTTTTATTAGTCCTCCTTGATATACACCTTTTAGGTAGCCTAGCACCCCACATCCCACATATTTTCTGATGTCTTCCATGCAGTAGAGCATACCTAACTTTCCTATGCCTTCCATGCAACCGAGTGTACCGAGCTTTCCTACGCCTTCCATGCATCCTTCTATGCAATATATGGAGCCAAGTGGATCTAGCATGTCACATTTAACACCCATGCATTTTGTGCATGATGATCAGGATGACGAGGATGATACCAATGCTCATGGTCATGTAGATACAATTGCTCATGATCATGGAGATACCAATGCTCCTGACAGTGCTCATGAAGAGCAAAGAAGGACACGCATTCTGATGCACCACAAACAATTAGGAAACATCTTGGCAGATTTATCATTTATCCCGAGCGAGGATGGTAAGTGTTAATGTTTTATATTATATTTTAAATTTGAGTTTTTTTAATGAATACTAACTCAAAATTTTGTTGTTTAGCCTTGTGACGCACATATTGCAGCATCGAGTATAACATAAGTTATTAAAGAAAAGTATAAAAAGTTTTGGCCGAGTTATAAAGTACTTTTCAGTGCAGACAAGGAAGATTGGTTTAAGTTATTTCGGGTATAATTAATTAACTCATTTAAATAATTATTATTTTAATTTCCTTTATATATATTTAGATATTCATGATTATACTTTATTTAATATTTTTGAATTCATACAACAATGTAGGATAAATTTTGTTGGGACATTAGAGACCATCACCAAATTAAGGAAAATTTTCACTCAAAATATGCTCCCCAATTAGGGCTGGCAATGAACCGAACCAACTCGAAAATAGTTCGGAATTCGATTCGACAATTAAATCGTTGAACTAGGTTCATGAACCAAATGAGTTGAGTATGAGCGAAAATTAAGTTCGTTAACTAAATGAGCTGAACTTGAACTATACATAGTTTGACTCGTTAGGTTCATGAGTCAACTCGATTACATATGAGAAGAATTATATTGTCTTTAAGATTAGGTTTAAATATTTACTCCAAATCTTAGACAAATTTAATCTTCAATTTAGTAGTTTTTGAATTAGACTCTCAAATGTATCTCTTGAAAGTTGTGTAGATTTTGAATTAGGAGATTTCGAAGATAAAGTTAAATTTCAATATGATAACTTTTTATTTATTTTAATATTTTATTTTAAAAAAATATATTTATTTAAAATGTCAAATATACTAAAAAATATATATATTTAAAAAATAGTTTTTAAGTCCATGAATCATGTTAGCTGAACCTAATGAGTTGAACCAAACTGTTCGTGAACTTATAACGAGTTGAGTTTGAGCTTAAAAAAAGTTCGTGTCGAACTCGAACCAATTCTTAACGAGTCGAGCCGAGCTGAGGTGAGTTCGACTCGACTCGACTCATTTCCAGCCACATCCCCAATTATCCAACACGCTTAGGCGTGTTAGACTTAATTGGGAAAGAAAAGGACCACATCCTAGTTGGATAGGTGAATATGTATTTCAAGAGATTATTTTCCATTGAAATTCAGATACCTTTAAGCAAATATCTGAAATTGCAAAAAAATAAAAAATAGAGCATCAAAAGTTGGCATTTGCAACTACGTAGCATGCATTATTAGTGTTGCTGAAGTTGCACGAAAGATGATAATTTTATTTATGTTTTACTTAAATTTTCATTTAGATTTTAGACTAATTAAAAAATAATTATTTTTTACTTATGTTTTCATTTAATTAGCATGACAAGTTGCTCGCAGGAAGAGGAAAAATGGGAAAGTGTATGATGCTATAGGGTACGCCAAAACTACCAGGCGGCGTGATAGGAGTTTCAGAATGAGACTTGTTGATGGAGAAGGATCATCACGTCACGTCTACCTATATTAACCAATGATATGCTAGAAACTGTGACAAACTTAGCGGATACTGAGGCTGCATGCAAAACAACAACAAGAAATGTGGAAATGGAAGAAATGAAGAGAAAACAAGTAGAGATGGAGGAAGAACTGAGGATAAAAATAATGGAGTATGAAAAAGCAATGTGGGTTGCAAATGAGTGCGCACAGAGATTTGAACAATTTATAGCCTCAAGTATGAACCAAGGTTTTGGAGGAGTCAAAATATAAAGGAGTTGATGATGAGGATGAGGAAGAAAATAATTAAATTTGTTGAAATATAAAACTTCTAATATGTATTTTTATATTTAACTTTAGTGGATATGGATACAATTTATTTTTATTCCACCTTTAATCATAAATTATTGGCAAAAATATTGTTTTATTCCTTTAAGTTATTTTAAAATATCAAGTTAGTCATTTAAGTTTTTTTTGTAACGCTTTGATCCTTTATGTTAAGTAATGTTTGCGTCGTTGACCTCTTTAAAAATCCCCGTTACAATAAATTGCAAACTCATATACCATTTGAACTGATTTTTCGCGTTGATCATGAATATGTAATTAAATTTGCGTTTTATTGTTTATTTTGGTCAGATCGAACAATTTTTCATTATATATTTGTCTATTTTTTTCTTGATTCTCATGAACTGTAACTTGTTTAATAAATTTGATTGTATATTTGTGATCAGCGTGAAAAACTAGTTTAAATAGTATATGAGTTTGCAATTTATTGTAACATAGATTTTTAAAAAGGTCAACGACACAAACATTACTTAACATAAAAGACCAAAACGTTATAAAAAAAAGTTAAAGGACTAACTTGATGTTTTAAAATAACTTAAAAGAGGTTTACTTAAGGATGTTTACTTAAGGATGCTTGCTTATAATTATATTATTTTAAAATAACTTAAAGGATGTTGACCTAGACAGTATTTTTACCTAAATTATTTTATTTTCTAATTTTATTTTACAAAATTTTAAAAAATATCTTTACTTATATATTGATGGTATTTTATTATTATAATATTATTATTATATTTATATAATATAATAATAATATTTTTTATACAATATTGTAAATATTAACCAAAGATTAAACCCCTTGCAAATAATCAGCCATTTGGGAAGGGCTAATTCCAAACAAATATCAAAATGTATATGCATTTGCTAGGAGCTTAGTCTCTAGTAAATTAGTAACATACTGCACCAAGGCTTTGTCCCTCACAAATACCAAAACATAGATGCATTTGCCAGAGGATTATCTCCTAGCATGACACACTACGCCTCTAGCCAATGCCTATGTCTACATGTCAGTTTGTGGAAATTTAGGGATAACATTTTGTGAGGGACTTAGCCTCAAACTAAATAGCAACGTGACAAATCCCTAACAAATAATTTGTTATGCCATGTTTTGCTAGAGGAATTGTCCCCTCTTAAATTTTTGTTTTGAAAAGATAATTTTGTTTTAGTAAGGGGTTTAATCTTTAGCTAAAAATGCTTTTTCTTGTTGTGATATTTATATCAACAATAAATTTGTTCTCTTTTATAAAAATATTTGCATCAAAAATATTTTTTTTTGCGTTTATAAAAATATTTGTATCAAAATACATTTTTCCTCATTTATAAATATATTTGTATCAACAATAAACTTTTTTCTGTTTATAAAAATATTTGTATTAAAATACACTTTTTCCGTTTATAAAAATATTTGTAACAACAATAAATTTTTTCCTATTTATAAAAATATTGGTATCATCAATAAATTTTTTCCCATTTATAAAAAGAATTTTATACTCTCATCCAATAAAAATTTATTATTCAACCAAATAATATCATTAACTTAAAAATTATAGTCTAATGTGACAAGATACATAATAATAATTAGTTGACAGTATAATATTATTTTATAATATTAATTAATTACAACCACATTATAGAAAATTGACTTTTATTCTAATCACATGTAAAACACCACGTCCGAATAATTTTCGGTGTAAAAAGTTTTAGAATAACAATGCATTATAATTAATTCCATATAACTATAACGTTTTATTAAAATAATAAAGTATTTTTTCTTCAAAATAACATATAATTATAACTGATATATTAATTTATTTTGACCATTCTTGTTATATGGCCAAAATCAGATTATAAATAAAACTTTAAGATGGAAAAAATAAATAAATATAAACATATCAAAAACATTGAATATAGATTAAAATAAAATAAATTTTATGGAAAATAACAATTTATTTAACATAGAATTCTAGAGTATGCCTTAAACAGAGTCATTCCAATGTATAAACAAGGATATATTCAATGATCACACTAAGCTTTATCCAAATTGAAAACATCAACCGAAGTAACCGCAAAATCAAAATTACCCAAATGGGTAGAAACGTCATTTTATTTAAACCGCGTGAACAGTAGATTTTAAATCTGTTCCCAAAACCTTGCGAGAAAGGATTAAGGAACTGATGAAGTACTGCAATAGCAAATAACAGCTTCAAGAATAAAACCAACTCACTTCAACTACAACCAATCAAACCAACTCATTTCAAATGGATTCGAGCATGGAAGACGAAGGAGAATCCGAATACTACTACGCACACGGCGGCAAGATAATGCTATCCACCGTCGTCACCCTCTTCATCATCACCATCACACTCCTCTCTATCCACCTTCTTATCCGATGGTACTTTCTCCGTAATCGCGACCGTCGACAACCCCTTAGCCGGACACGCCACATTCGACGTCGGTCATTTGTTTTCTACTTTGAACACGACGTTCCTGCCTCACTGAGGCTTGATCTCTCTCGCGGCCTCGATCCCTCTGTCATCTCGTCTCTTCCGGTGTTTAAGTATTCTTCTGAGGAACCGCCGGTGGATTGCGCTGTTTGTTTGTCGGAGTTTGAGGAAGGAGAAACGGGTCGGGTTTTGCCCAAGTGTAATCATAGTTTTCATGTTGAGTGTATTGATATGTGGTTTCATTCTCATTCTACGTGTCCGCTTTGTAGAAAATCAGTGGAGCTTCTTCCGGTTCGACCGGTTCAAGTAACTGAACCGGAAGTGACTATTGATGTGGGTGAACCGGAGTTAGTTTTGGGTTCGAGTTTTGGGGAAGAGTCCAACCGGGATGAACCGTGTTCTACTGAGGAGCAATCTTCGTTAGTTGGCGTGACAGTTGAAGTTCCGGAAACGGTCGAGTGTGAGCCGTCGTCTTCGTCTTTTCGGTCGCCGATGAGTCGTGTGTTGTCGTTCACCAGAATTGTTAGCAGAGAGAGGAAATCGAGCGTTTCTGCTACGTCGGACTTTGTAGAGGAATTAGATGCAGAACGAGGTGGAAGGGAGGAGACTCATTGAGTTGAGTGATACTGGTGCTAGGAGATGACTCGAAGTGGCGTGACATGGCAATGATGAGGATGATTCTAGTTGGCCTTGAACATTTCGGACAAGTATATTTTTTCAAAACACATTTTTTTTGACAATTTAATTTAATTTTAGGATAATGTATTGATAAATAAATGTTCGAAAATATTTAGGTATTGCTAGCCGGGTAGTACTCTTGATGTTTTTTTTCCCTTCTATAAGTTTATTAATTAAAACTTCATGGTTAAATCTTGGAAAGTTGGATGTCGCAAGAAACTTTTGATTGTGGTTTTGTAATAGAAAATTTGTATAAGTCTTACAATTCATTTGTTGAATAAAACGGGTTATATCATTTGTTGAATAAGCGTTCATCATCGGGTTATATCGCTCATTTTTTCTATCATTCGCCTTTTAACAAATATGTGAAGGTAATATGTCCTAATAAATAAGAGTATGAGAGAGAGTCAAAAGAAGGAGGTCGTGTTCTCTAGAGATATATGAAAAGCAACTACCTCTTTTCCACACCCCCGAAAATGACAAGTACGAGTGTTATTTTATTGAAGTCTAAGATTCAGACTCAAGAAATTTTATAAATACCTTAAATTTGAGATTGAGAGTAATATTCAATTTCACATGTAAAACACTTTTATACAGAGCTTATCTCCATCTCGTGTGAGTTTGTTTTAATTTCGTAACAATCCTAAAAAGCTCTGACCGACTTACTCCACAAGGGGGTGTCACGTATTGCATTTTAGCAAGTACAATTGGCGCCTATTATGTGACTTGGCAAAACTGACTTGAGCCACCACCAAAACATTCGGCTAGACTGCTACCGACGTCTCCAACCCCTCTATCCAGCATGGTGAATAAGAAGGTAGCAACTTCAACCAATAATGAGTATGGTGATGATGAGAATGTCATGGCAGGAATGCACACTCTCATGGATGACTTACATCGCAAGTAGGGCTGGAAATGAGTCGAGTCGAGTCGAACTCACCTCAGCTCGGCTCGACTCGTTAAGAATTGTTCGAATTCGAGTTCGAGTTCGAGTTCAACACGAACTTTTTTTTAAGCTCAAACTCGACTCGTTATAAGTTCACGAACAGTTCGGTTCGACTCGTTAGGTTCATCTCATTAGGTTCAGCTCACATGGTTCACGAACTTAAAAACTATTTTTTTAAATATATATATTTTTTAGTATATTTGACATTTTAAATAAATATATATATTTTTAAATAAAATATTAAAATAAAATAAAAGTTATCATATTGAAATTTAACTTTATCTTCGAAATCTACTAATTCAAAACCTACACAACTTTCAAGAGATACATTTGAGAGTCTAATTCAAAAACTAATAAATTGAAGATTAAATTTGTCTAAGATTTGAAGTAAATATTTAAACCTAATCTTAAGGATAGTATAATTCTTTTCATATGTAATCGAGTTGACTCATGAACCTAACGAGTCGAACTATGTATAGTTCAAGTTCAACTCATTTAGTTAACGAACTTAATTTTTCGCTCATACTCAACTCATTTGGTTCATGAACCTAGTTCAACGATTTAATTGTCGAGTCGAATTCCGAACTATCTTCGAGTTGGTTTGGTTCATTGCCAGCCCTAATCGCAAGAACTAAACTTTAGAGGATAACATCATTCACATCCAACAATGTCAACAGGAAATCGGCCAGATTAAGACTAAAATCCTAGACCCCAACCTTTCTTTGATGAGATATGGGGGCTCTAGTACGAGAAAAATTTAAGCCGTCTTCTCTGACCAAGTTTGATGGGTATAACGACACATGATCATGTCACATTTATCAATACGTAGATGGAGATTAATGGAGCTTTTGATTTCTTGAAATGCAAAATTCTCTCTGGAACCTTCAAAGAAGCAATTCTAAGGTGGTACATAAGCCTACACGACTCTTGGTTACAAACTACTAGGATCTGATGAAGAAACTGGTCCATCAACTTACAACCAACATGCATAGAAAAATGTCTAGCACCAACCTCTTTAAAATTCATCAGGGGCCTGCTGAATGTTTGAGAGAATATCTCATCCATTTTAATGAGGTGACTATTAAGGTTATCTATGCTAAGAGCAAGGAATTTTAACTAATCTCTCGCCTAGAGGCATGCATGTCTTTAGTAAAAGTGGTGAAACGTGCAAAATTTTATATAAATGACGAGAGAAGTGGTGGGAAATTAACATACAATAATAGACCAATACGTAACAGATATAAAACTCCCTAAACTCGTAGGAACCTTAAGGATCAACAACAAATATAAGACGACAAATCGAACAAATAAAGGCACAAAAGAACACTGATATTTTTAATGTGAAAAACCTCTCAATATGAGAGTAAAAACCATGAGTCGTCCAAACCAAAGAAATACTTCCACTATAATCACTTAAGGATACAAGAGAGTCTTAAAGTGATTCACAAACTAGTTCTAATAACTGCAAACCACAAAGCAAACTAGCTTACAAATAAGAATCAAAAAGCTGAAAATTTTCCCCAAATTTGCAGCTTTAGTGCGAAGCAAATAAATTTCACCTCATGCGTTATTTTTAAATTATGAACGGTCAAACGTTAGATATATGTGTTACAAATCTGCTCTCCTAATTTGAGCTCGATCCAACGATTAACGAATCAGGGATCATCGATTTAGTGAGACTAGTTGCAGAAAAATGAGAATGAGTTTCTCTCCTCTTTTCTCTCTTTTGAATTCTTATTTTACCTCTATCTCTTTCAACACTAAATTGATTCTCTCCACTTAAATAAGTGAGACAAATGAGTTAATCATATTTGGTCTTAACTCCACATAGGAGTGGAGCCCAAACCCAACAAATCTCCCCCTCACAATGTGAAGGAAATCTCCAAACCGGTGATATCACAACAAACTTCAAATTTTCCTCTTGGTAATACTTTAGTCATCATATCAGAACCACTATCATCTGTATGTACTTTAGATAACTCCAACACTTTAGCATCTAAAACATCATGCATCCAATGATATCTCACATCAATGTGTTTGGACCTATTATGAAAAGTCAGATTCTTACCAAGATGAGTAGCGCTTTAACTATAAACAAATAACACATATTTGTTTTGAACAAAACCAAGCTCCTACGAAAATTTCTTCAACCCTAGTAACTCTTTGCATGATTCGGTAATTGCAATGAACTCATCCTCTGTAGTAGATAGTGTTACACACTTTTGCAATATGGACTGCCTAGCAACAACAAGCCTTGTAAATTTAATCTTGTAGGCCGAAGTGAAATTTCTGGAATCAATGTCTCTAGCCATATCAGAGTCAAATTACCCCACTAGAGTAGACTTATCTCCTCCAAAATTAACAAATCCTCATAGAAGTAGTACTGCAAAGATACCTTAAAATCCATTTTACAACATTCAAATGCTCTCTACCTGAATTTGACAAAAATCTACTTACTGTACCAACAACATGTGATATATCTGTTCTTGTACACACACCATTACATACATCAAACTACCCACATCAGACGCATATGGAACACGTTTCATATCAAATGCTCTATCTTCACTTGAAGGACTTTGATTAGAACTCAACTTGAAATAAGTAGCGAAAGGAGTATTTACCGTCTTAGAACTTTCCATTTTGAATCTTTGCAGCACTCTTTCGATATAATTTTCTTGTGACATCCAAAGTTTCTCCTCTTTTCTATCACACATGATTCTAATGCTAAGAATCTATTTATCTACTCCCATGTCTTTCATGGCAAATGACTCTCTCAATTGCTTCTTTAACATTAATGTTAGAAATACTTTTCCCTACAATAAGCAATATCATCAACATATATATAACAACAGGATAATGAAGTCATCGTTAGAAAATTTTCTAACAAACACGCAATGATATGAAGTAGTTTTATGGTATCCTTAATCATACATAACGGCTCAAACTTCTTGTACTACTGCCTTGGAGCTTACTTCAACCCATATAAACTTTTTCTCAATCTACACACATGATCTTCTTTAGCTTTAACTTGAAAACCATTGGGTTATTTCATGTAGATCTCTTCCTCCAAATCACCATGAAGGAAAATCGTTTTCATATCCATTTGCTCAACCTCTAAATCAAGAATAACAAGCAAACTCAACACGGTTCTAATTGATGACATCTTTACACTAGGTGAGAAAATATCATTAAAATCAACACCCTTTCTTTAACAAAAACATTTCACCACTAATCTGACTTTACATTATGGAGACTTATATTTGCTCTTATCTTTAACTCTATAAATCCATCTGTTTTTCAAAGCCATTTTACCTTTTGACGGCTTCACTAAATCATAAGTGTGATTATCATGCAATGATTTCATCTCATCATGCACTGCATCCTTCTTTTTTTGATTTTCATCACTTTCAATGGCCTCTTGAAAACACTTGGGTTCACCCTCATCAGTCAATGTCACATACTCATTAAAATTATACCTTGTCGAAGGTTGTCTCTGCCTGTTAAACCTCCTAGGTTGAACTTTAGATGATTCTAGAGTTTCACCAAGATTCTCATCTTGTGAAAAATTACTCTCCCATTCAGCATAATTAGTTAGAATATTTACCTTATCTCTAAGTTATTGATCATCAACATAATCATATGGCTCACCATTGTGATTATCACCACCAATAGCATCCAGATTATGACTAGGTAACCGAATTAGATCAACATTAGACAAACTGATATCTTTCTTGGATGTAGCCTTCTTTACCTTATCAATATCTTTAATAATTTGGTCTTCCATAAACACCACATTGCGGCTTCAAATAAGTTTTTTCCCTACGGGATCATACAACCTATAGCCAAATTCAACTTGCCCATAGCCAATAAAGATACATCGTTTTGACTTTGCATTCAACTTGAATCTTTCATCCTTTAGAATATGCACAAAGTCTTGTTGAACTACAACTAAACAAGTACTCCTTTGGAAGAAATCTCCGAATTATGC